AAAAAACCCAGAATATTGTTTGGCAATAATAAGAATGAAGTGCCTGACACGGAAGCACAAACCTTTAATCTCAAGACTCAGGAGGTTGAGTCAGGAGGATTTTAAGTTTGAGACCAGCTCAACTCTGAGACCTGGTCTCAAAATTAAGAAAGGGCTAGTGATTTAGCAGAGTGAAAAGGCATCCCTAAGTTCAATCCCCATTACCAAACAAACAAAAACAAAAAGGAATGATGTACTTATATCGCTTCAAAGTGAAGATTTTCTGCTAAGTAAAATAAACCAGGTCACAAAAAGACAAATAATGTATGATTTCATTTATTTGAGGTACCTAGAGAAGTCAATAGAAACACAAAGTGGAAATATAGTTGCCAGGGGTTAAGGGTTGAAGGAAACAGGAAGAAGCTCAATGGATATACAGTTTTAGTTTTATCTGATGAATTCTAGAGACTGGCAAGGCAACAATGTGCATGTACTTAACCACTACATATACACTGGAAATGGCTAAGATAGTAATTTTATATTGTAGGTATTTTACCACAAAATAAATATGTGTGTGTGTATTATATATATATATTTCTGATAAATAATGGGGATGGAACCCAGAACACTTTACCACTGAACTATATCCCCAGCTCTTTTAAACTTTGAGACAGGAAATTGCTAAGTTGCTGAGATGGGCCTGGAAACTGCCATCCTCCTGCCTGCTTCCTGAATTATTGGCACTACAGGTATGTAACACCATGCCTGACTACCAATTTAAAACAAACAAACAAACAAACAAACAAACAAAAAAAACCGAACAGGAACAAAAACAAGGCCCAGAATTTAAAACTGATGAATGAAATAAAAGATATAACAGATTTAGAGGAAGATATTTAGGAACACTTCGTAGAAAACATAGTTGAGAACAAAAATAAAAATAATAGCCAAAACAAGATACAAAGTTCAACCTATAAGATCTAATGCCATATTAGTCTACCAATGAATGAAAAAGAGCCATACACCAAAGACACATTATCATGAAGTACCAGAGAAAAATAAAATACGCTCTAATTACCTTCAAAGAAAGGTAAAATTTACAGAAATCAGAGCCCCTAGACTTAAATAAAGGTATTATGTCCATCTACAACTAAAAACGTTAAAAAAAAAAAAAAAAAAACCCTATGGAAGCTGGATGATTTTCTCAGCAAGATATGATTATATCTGAATTTAAGAACCTGCTTTTACCTAGACACTGAAGAATAAAAAGAAATCATTAAAGTGAAAGAATTTACATGGATTTTTAAGACAAAACTCTGAGAATATGCCAAACACTTTTGATTCTCAACTTTAAAACAAAAACACACCCTAAGGCCCAGCAACTTCATTTCTCTCTCTCTATATATACATCCTAGACGTTCTTGTTCATAAAAAGATTTGAATATTTTTAAGAGCATTATTTATATTGGCAAATAGAAAGCTACAATTTCCATCAACAGCAGAATGAAGACATAATTTCATTTAGATATTTACAAATGGGCACAATGCACATTTGTAAATATTGTTTAGGGCAAACTAAGAGCTRCAACTTTTTGGTAGGCCCCTCTTTTAAGTTATAAAGGGCTGCAGAAATATATATACATACATACATAAAACCAGGAAGTAGTACACAAAGCCTAAAAGATTTACAATTTACCCCTTTTCAGAAAAAGTTTGCCAATCCAGAATGGTAAACTAGAAAAGAAAATTATTATCACAAAGTTATATCTAAGCAGAAAAGGGGGGAAGGAGAACCCCAAACAGGAAGAGGATACACATGTTGCTTCTAAGATACTGAGGGCATTTACAGTCCACAATTGTAGGTTGGGAGTACATGGGTAAGTACACTTCATTATTATTTTTTAAAAATGTATGTGTCTGTCTCTCTCACCAAATCTGAGAAGTTATAAAACAAATCATTATCTTATATGGTGCCCAGAAAAACACTGCCACTTAAACCATGATACATTTTACATTTTAATTAACAGCCTGATTTATTCAATTACTTTTTTGGTACTAGGGATTGAAGCCAGGGCACTTTACCACTGAGCCATATCTCCAGTCCTGTTTTACATTTTGTTTAGAGACAGGGTCTTGCTGAGATACCCCAGGCCTGAGGCTGGCTTTCTTTGAACCCGCAATTCTGCCTCAGCCTCCTGAGCTGCTGAGAAATGGGCATGTACCACCATGCTTGGCTGACAGTCTAATTTTTAAAGATGATAAAATGTGAAAAAAATGTATATTTTAGAATTAATAAAATAACTACCATATTTCAAAATATTTTAAAATGAGGGCTGATAGTAGAAAAAGGAAAATATTTTTTKGGGGTGTATGTGTGTGTGTGGGGRGTGGTACCAGGGATTGAACGACTGAGCCACATCCTAACCCTTATTTTCTATTTTATTAGAGACAAAGTCTCACTGAGTTGTTTAGTGTCTCGCTAAATTGCTGAAGCTGGCTTTGAACTCTCTATCCTCCTGCCTTGGCCTCCCAAGCCGCTGGGATCACAGGTGTGCACCACCGTGCCCAGCTGGAAAACAATTTCTTACAGAGAATACTATCAAAAGATGAACTACAGACCAAGTATCAAAGCAGAAAAACATTTACAGAATCTAAGACTCAGAAATTTATACCTCATGACCACTTGTTCAGGAAGTTCTAGAAGATGTGACCAGTCATAATACAGGAAAATAAAAAGAGGAAGAAGGGGATCCAATAAAGGAGATTAAGGAAAACTTAACAAAATGGTGAAGGAATACAGAGAGATGAAAAATTGTGTCCTATATGTGTAATAAGAATTGTAATGCTTTCCACTGCTGTCCTGTAGTTAAATAAAACAATTAAAAAAATAATAATGGTGAAGGAAGTCCAAGAAACAGCCATATACCAGGCCACTGAGAATATATAAGAAAAAGAAATAATTACAGTGTACTCTGTCATTTATGTTTTTTAAAAAAAATATTTATTTGGGGTTGGGGCTGTGGCTCAGCAATTGTGCACTTGCCTGGGAAGTGTGAGGCACTGGTTTTGACTCTCAGCACTACATATAAATAAATAAAAATAAAGGTCTATCAACAACTAAAAAAAAAATTTAAAAAGAAATATTTATTATTTTTTACTGGTAGTTGGACACAATACCTATTTATTTACTTTTATGTGGTGCTGAAGATCAAACCCAGGGCCTTGCACGTGCTAGGTGAGTCTACCATTGAATTGCAACTCATGACCTAATCTATCATTTATTAAAAAAAAAAAAAAAAAAAAAGTGGGGCTGGTTTGTGGGTCAAGTGGCAGAGCGCTCGCTTAGCAAGCATGAGGCACTGGGTTCAATCCTCAGCACGACATAAAAATAAAAGATTTTGTGTCCACCTTAAAACAAAAACAACAAAAAACCCCTAACATATTTTTAAAAAATGTAATACTGAGACGTGGCTTACAAATAACAGCATGTTTTAGTCTACTGGTGATGCTTTTTACTTAGAGATACTGAAATAACGGGCACCTTATAATTGATGATATCYCATAAATGATGAAGCCCAATATACTGGGAAGATGGGAAAAATTTTTATGTGTTTATTTAAGAGAGCTATATATATTTCTTTAGCTCTAGAATGTAAATCTAACAATGTCTAAAATCTTACTTTTTAAAGAAATATGAAGAGGTCTGCACTCAAAAATATTGTAGGATGTAGTATTATAACTTGCTGATATCTACTCTCCACTATTTCAAAGGCTAAGTTTATCAAGTTAATTATAGGGTAGTAAGTAGAAATACAGCTTTCGACTTATTAAGCTAATTGACTTTAAAGACATGTAAAAGTCAAAGAACATTTTATTGACCTTGTATAATACAGCTTTATTATAAGTCCTTTAAAATAAGGTATGCTGAAAACTCCACAAGWTAAAACTATGATAGAAATACTAAGTATAAATAAAATTTAAAATAATAGCCCTGAAAACAATGCCCATAAACACAGTTCCAGAAAGTGAGACAATCACATTGATTCTTCAGTGATTACCTTTTCTTTGTAGACACCTTTAACAACATCAGACATTCTATTCTCCAAAACAAGTTCACCTGGCATTCTTGATGAACTTCCAGGTAATGGAGGAAAATTTGAAGCTAGTAAGTCAAACTTTGGTGTTGGAGCCTTTGTTTCAGCTGTTGAAGGATGGGGTCTCTAAAAGACACAAATCATCAAACAGGTCATATGCCTATTGAATTCTCTAATATTTGTGCTGTACCACTTGAGCCACAATCCCAGCCTATCTTCAGATAGCTCTCTCTTCTGTTCCTTTTGCAAACTGCCACCAATATCTACTGTTCTTCAGTTTCTGTTTGCAATTCCCTAGTAAATAAAAATAAAAACAAAAACCCTAATCCTACCATGCCATCAGTTTTACTCTATCCTAATGGAGAACAGCCAGGAATGATGATGCATGCTGGTAATCCCAGAAACTTCTAAGGCTAAAACAGGAAGATAGCATAGACTCTCCCGCTATCTCATCCCCTCTTCCCTTGACCCTGAACTCAACATTCCACTAAAACTACACAAGATGTCAATGCCTTTAACCACAAAAATCTGGAAGTCAGACTATTTTTACTGACTTCATTATATAGCATGTGGCATGAATGCCCTTCTTTCTTTTGGGAATGTACTTTCTTCTTTTTTGCAATGCTGATGATCAAATGAAGACCTTCAAACATGTTCAGCAAGTGTTCTACCACTGAGCTAAAACCCTCGCTCTGGGAGTTTGTTATTTTAATTTTTTTTAGCTTTAGTGGTCTTCTCTTTGTTTCTTCTCAGTTCTGAAAACCACATGCGCTTTTCTCATTTCTGATTTGTTAAATTTTGGTTTCTAGTCTTTTTACTTCCACATTTTCCATGGGTTATCCATTATTCATGGGTTCAGATACACCGATATGTGAACAGCTGTATCWCTCCTTTTTTTTCTTTGACTTGGGATTGGCACTTAACCACTTAGCCATACCCACAGCCCTTTTTGAGACAGCCTAGTGATAAGTTGTTTATGGGCTTGCTAAGTTGGTGAGGCTGGCTCTGGCAGCCTGGCAAGCAGAAAAGACTTAAAACAATCCTTTTCCCTTTTGGTGGCCATGGCAGCACAACTGAATTGTACATTTTAAATAAGTTTCAGCCCAGGCTCTTTGTACATTTAGATTTCACTTGGATAATTCAAACAACATACTATAAAACTCTTGCTTTTAGTCCAAAAGTCACTACCACATTCCCTAAAGTTTCATATTTGGACTTCTTTTATTACTGTTCACAGGGTAACTTGTGAGAATTTTATCTACTCTTATTATTTTAATTACTATGTGAAAGTTTACAAATATTAAAATTTTAGGACCTCTAGCTAAGACCTCCCCTCTTATACTACAAGGTGTGTTTATCATATCATCTTTTCCTTCACCCCAAGGGTTAGTCCTTAATCCTGACATTTTCAACATGTTAAAGAGATCTAATCTCTCTCTTCCTCAAATGTTGAAGGCCACTTAAAAGACTATTCTTGGTGTTTTAATGCAATAATTTTCTTCTTTGAATATTATTCCTTTTCACTGTAAAACATACATGTAAAATAAGCATTGTATTACACATTTATGATACATCTATAAATCTGGGGTGGGGGAACCTTGAGGCCTCCATGCTTTTTTAAATTCTTATTTTTGGCAGTGTTGGCATGCCAAAAAGACACTACCACTGAGCCACATCCCCAACCCAATCTCCATGCACCGTTATTCCTCAACTCTTTTTGCCTCTAGATTAGAGACAATGCAAAATTCACTAAGAACAAATAATGGAAATAAAAATGAGTAATTGAAACTGGACAAAAATCAAACATGATATATAAAAGAATCAGCAATAGGCAGATAATTACCCCATTAGAAAAATTAAATAAAATAAAGGTATTGTATCTAACTACAACTAAAAAATAAATAT